GAGTTACAGTAACTAATTCTGGTAAGAAAGATTGTAGCTATAATCCATAAAAAGCAAGAAGATACCAGAAAACATCTCTTGGAAATAAAAACCAAAGATAAAATGTAGGTAAGATTTCTGAGTCATTTTAAACTATTTCAAATGATAGTGTCAGAGTGTCATCTTTTGAACTGGAAGGTATCGTAGTGCTCCAATACTATATTTTATAAATGAGAAAATAATATGATTTTCTGATCTTTTTGAAGTAAACATTTATATTCTTTTTTTAAAAAATAGTACTTCTATACAAGTAATAGCTTTCTCAGTTTACTGTAAGTCAATTAAATACAGTAATGTCAGTGGGTTTCAATGGTAAAGCAATTGGATTTCACCAGTTCCAAAACTTAAATATGTTTGTAAAATAACAGCCTTATCCCAATAGTTTCTGAGGCAGTGGTAAGACATTTGGCTCTTGAGTTTTACATGTAATTCAGAGATTTGACTCCTCATACAGGCCAAAGATAGACATATGCTAATATAATTTTTAAAATAGTTCTGTGAATTAAAGAAAAAGCAGTCTTATGCAAATAAATAAAAAATTCCAGTTTCCTTTATGACTAAAATTGACATGGTCAACATGATTATATCAAGCTTAGTCTTATATGTACCATAGATATTGACCACTGTAGATATACTGATGATGTGTCTTAGTCTATGGATGTGCAGTTGGTATACAACGTAAACTGTCATTTAACATTTTACAAACTTCAGTTTTGTACCTTCTCCTTCTTGAGTTTGAATCCAGACTTCTCCCTTTTGTCTTTTAAAAGATTGCACAAATAACTCTTATTTCAAAAACAAAGAAGAAAGCATTTTTTCTTATTTCATCACTCCTCCTTTATTACTCGACCCTACTTAAATTAAATTTTCACAATCAACAGTGGCCAAGTTCAAACCACCATTTTCTTAATTTTCAACTGCCTGAGAACATTTTCTTTTCTTTCCTTTGCGTTCTGGCCTCCTATGAGCTTCCAAGAAAACATTCTTTCTGTTTCTTCTTCTAAGATCATTATTTTCCTTTTCTACTTTTATTTTTCTGCCTCTGCCTTTTTAATGTACAAATCCTACAACAATCTTTCTGCCTTTTTCTCTCTACATTCAAACCCTCTAAAAGCAAATCAACTGTTTAGTTTTCATTTGTAATCTCTATAGCGATAATCAAATCTCTTTGAACTCTGACTGATATTTATATCAAACCACTTATAAAAATTCTCTGCCTTTTTCTTCCTAAGATATACATTTCTATCAGTAACTCAGCAGGACTCCTCTCTCTCCTAATTTCATACCTCTAAATTTCCATTGCATCCCATTATCTATCAGTTTTTTTCTATGTACTCTACCAAACTAGACCAGAGTACCTTTTGATATAATAATGTGCAGATTATGCAAAGATCTTTCTAAAAGAGAATCAAATTGTCCTTGAAAGTGATCATGTACAACATAATTACATTTTGATTTACTATCTTTGGTCTCCTCATTTTCCAACACTGTCAATTGTAGAAGCATAGTGTACAAGACTACATATCATCTAGGCACTCCCTTCAGATTACCTATGTTTGGAAACTGGAACTGATTCATTTTCCTACAAAATAGATGAGTTGCTAAGTTGATTTATGAACTTGTGCCTTGTGTGTAAAGTGGGTAAAATAATAGTTCTTTTGCATAGATATTTTTGAAGATTATGTGAACTAGTATATTGGAAGCTCTTAGTGAGCACTAAATAAATGTTAGCTATGTAATCCTAAATGCAGCTTTTATTATATCTTATGCTCATTGAAAAACATACTACTATTGTATGCCAGTCATCAATGAAGTATTCTTCTGTCTGATACTCTAAGTTGCCTAAATCAACTTCATTGTTGCCCTCTAAGAATTTATTTTGTTAATCCAGTGTTGTTGGCACAATCTCTACCTTCTTCCTTCTTTCTTCACTACCTTTAGTTTCTATAATAGAGAAAACCATATTACGTAAGTATTTTTCTTTATCCCCCTTTAAAAAAGCTATCTACTGGTTAAGCCATGTGCCTTGACCAGTTTCATTTCTACAACTTTTTTTCATAATTAGCAATCAGTCCCTTGACACTGTTACTGCAGTTCTTTTGGAACTTTCAAAATTCTATACCTCTTTAAAATCCAACTCAAGCCCTTTCTTTTTCCTGAGGTATCTTGAATACTTCAAGATATTTCTCTTTCTAAATAATATCTAATTTTTTTCAATTCAATTATAGGACTTCATAGGTCTTTATATTTTTTTGACAATATATTTTCCCCTGGTTATATCTTATACTTATTGAGATTATTTATTTTATTCTTTCTTAGTCATTATATATACATTTTGGTGTCACAAAATTCTTTTTCATGACTATTATGGGCATAAAGATAAATATTAATGAATTAAAATAGGTGCTAGCACCTCACATGCCATCCAAGTGAATCTACATATACTAATTTTGTTGCGTAACAAAGATTAGATGACCAACATTCAGCTATTGATTATTAATTATGTATCAGAAAAAGTCTCAGTCTAAATTGCTTTGCGTTGGGACATTATTAAGGTTTTTGTTGTTGCTGTTTGTTTTTTGAGTTGGAGTCTCACTCTATCACCCAGGCTGGATGCAGTGGCATGCTCACAGTTGCTGCAGCCTCTACCTGCTGTGCTCTGGTGATCCTTCCACCTCAACCTTCCAAGTAGCGGAACTACAGGCATATGCCACCTCGCCTGGCTAATTTTTTTGATTTATTATAGAGATGAGGTCTCACCAAGCTGCCCAGGCTTGTCTCATACTACTGGGCTCAGGCAATCCTATGGCCTCTGTCTCCCAATGTCCTGGAATTACAGGTATGAGCCACCATGCTCGGCCTATGACTTTTTTTTTTTTTTTTTTTTATTGTGAAGTTGTGGGGTACAGTTAGGGGTTAGGTATACAATTGCGTTTCATTCAGGCACCCTGTTGATATGGGGTGTTTCCCCGTTCCCAGACAGATATTTGCTACTGTTAATCCCATCTCCCTCCCCCACCATAGTTTCCCAGTACGGTCAGTCATTTTCGTATAGTATTGCATTGGATGTTTAAGGTCCATTATATGAGTGAGAACATGTGATACTCGGATCTTTGTTTCTGTGAGAGGTCACTCAGTATTATAGACTCTAGTTCCATTCAGGTTGCTGCGAAATTCATGATTTTGTTCTTTTTTATGGCTGCGTAGTATTCCATCGTGTATATGTACCACATTTTTTTAATCCAGTCCTCTTTTGACAGGCAGCATGGCTGTTTCCAGGTTCTTGCTATTGTGAACAATGCTGCGATAAACATGCATGTGCAGGTATCTTTTTTATAGAGTGATTTGTGTTCTTCAGGATATATTCCAGGAATATGGGAGGTTGGTATTTAGAGCTTTTAAGAATCGCCACACTGCTTTCCACAGAGGTTGCACTAGTTTACACTCCCACCAACAGGCCTATGACTTTTTAACTTAGAAAACTTTTCCAAGAGATAAGTTATAGTCTTACTAATCTTGTCCTTTCTCTGAAACAGATTCAGGTGGAAAGCACAGTTTATAGAGCAGGAAGGATATTGCAGTAATGGCAATTCCATCTCACTAATAGACAAGCCCCGCCTTTCTACTCCTTGTCTGTCTCCACTAGCCTGTACTAAAAATTCTATCAAGAAACTGGGAATTACAAGGCCAGGGATACCATTCAATTTATATACATTTTCAGATAAATGCATGAGGCTGAAGATCTGCAGGCGTAAAAGAGATAGGCCTATACAGTCAGCCCTCTGTATCTGTGGATTCCACATCTGCTGACTCAAGTCACTGAATCAAAATAATTCAAAAAATAAAAATGACATCACAACAATAAAATGTTTAATAAAATTGAGCTTCTGCTGTTCTCTAGTGTGCACCATATTTACTAACCCTTTGTTTAGGTATTGCCATCCTAACCAGGCAGAAAGGTGAAAGCAGTACTCAGATATGTTTTATTTGGCCAACATTATGTTTAAAAAGCGAACATTCATGCTCAGGCAGGAAACACACTCTCAAGTTCACAGTCATTCCTGTTCTTCATTTCATCTTGTTCTTGGCACCTTAAATTTTAACTCCTGTCTCCAAACTCCTAAAACCATTTGAATTTGCCATTCCTGACTTGGGACCTCAGCAGATCTATTTCCCCTTATACACGTCTCTCCTCCAACAACAAAAATTTCTGATGAGTGTGTAGCTAATTAGAATGAACTAGAATTGAAGATGAATCTTAGATTGGTGTGCAAAGCCTATTTATTCAATCATTCTATTTCTTCACATCACAGTCAATTTGTTCCATACTGAGTTATATCTTATGTATTTCTAAAAGTATTCTCTAAGAGTCACATATAAAGCTTTGCAAATAGGACTGATTTAGGACTTAATCAGATTCTCACACATATTATAAAAAGCAGTGGATCACCAAACCAAAAAGAACTTTACTTGTTTACAATATATCTCCGCTTCAATATTAAACACATTACACACACACACACACACACACACACACACACACACACACACACACACGATTTGACTTTTCTCAGTATTAACTAAAATGCTACTACTCCTATAAATATCATTTTACAAAATACACTCACTAATTTCTGATTCAAAGGCATGCCAAAATACTCTTTGCACATAATTTAAAACAATCATTTATACTAACCTGCATACCTGTAAGCAGCTTTTTATCAGAATTCAGATATTTATATTTAAGATAGCAATGTATTCTGTTAAATATACATTAAACTTGTAACATTTCACACATGATCACATCTCTGTGAAGTAGAGTTGCAGTGATTCATAATTACCTTTGTGTCAAAGTCACAAAATCATCAATTACTACAAAATATGAAGCAGGCAAATACAAAGCAAAAAAAGGAACATAGAATGAATCAGAATGACAAGTAGTATCTTTAGATTATGTGTACCTTTTTAATTGTCTTCTCAATCAGCATGTCTCCAACTGGCATGAGAATGCCTCCAAACACAGCCAGGACAGCACCAATGACAGCCCCAGCAATGAGCCCACAGTTTCGATCACAACCCATTTTTCTTGTGCAGGAGACGAATTAAGGTTAAGCACCTCTTTCTTTCAAACTCCTATATATGAGTGCTTATGGTGCTTTCTGTGAGATCTGGTTCTATCATTAGAAAGAGATCATAAAACAGAAGCTTAAATATCAGTACAAAAAGATCAAAGTACAAAGAAAACACGCAACTGAACAGATCACTTTGCCAGTTATAAATAAACAAATTCTTTTCGTTTTACCAAACTGACCTCCTAGGTCCATATCCCCTTTCTTGCTTCGAACTACATAGCAGCAGTAGAAATAATAATGTCACAGTTGAATTTCTTCAAAATTCTCTTTTTAATTTTCTTTCTATGGATGATTAACAAACTGAAATCTAATCTAAGGAGAACTCTCACCCTCATCTCTCTTTCCTCAGCCTGGACAACTTAGATACATCCTTACCCTGGGCAACTTAGATACATCCTTATCTGGATTCTCCACCCAAATACAACTATCCACACCCTGCCTGAAGTTCTCCTGTAAACTGACTGTGTGGACTGTTGTCTTCTCCATTTAAATGCTAAGCAAGTATGGTATCAGATGTTTTCTTTACTATACCTTATTCACGCATAGACAGCAAGACCTATATTTTACAGGGAATGAACTGATAAGTCTCAGAAAGAATCAATTCTTCTAATCATTTGAAAGCTATCTGTTAAAACAAATAAGCATGGGTAAATAAAAAATTGTCAAAAAATTGATACCAGGATACTTTGTGATATCACCATAATTATAATAACCGCTAAGAGAAAGTCTAATTTTCAGGAATACTGAGTTTATGAAGGATTGTTTGTCCTATAACCTGTTTAGAACATTGAATTATGTTAAAGTATATGCCATTTTTAGTTTTATTGTTAATGACCTTTTGATAGACTATAGGTGAAAATAACTTGAAAAAATATATAATATAGAGGATGTCTTATTTCAGTTATAGGCATCACTTTCTTACTAATCTCATTTTTTTTACATATTCCACACTATTGTTTATTTTCTCATGTGCAGTTGATCATGCCAATTTTGTTAATCAACTAGTTTGTGCTAGTATGCATTTCAGTCCATTTTATTTTTAGTGTCTTCTTATAGTATGTAGTGATTATAAAATATTGGAAGAATGCAACTTATGAAATGAGTGAATCCTATTGTAATGAAATGAATAAGAATTTATTTCTGCTGACTAATATTTTAAAACATATTCATTTGATCTGTTTTTGCTTATAATACCATTTTTTCAATAAGAGGTTGACCTGTCCTTGATACACAGAATGTGCTTTGTAGCTTAAAAACAAATATCCTGTACTTCAAAATCCTAAGGAAATCATACATGCAAACAGAATGAAGACTATAGACAAAAAAGAGGTACATGCATAATATTTTTATTAACATTGTTAGTATAATGGTAATAATTACGGTGTGTTATGTTTTCTGGTTTTCCCTCCACAGTTCTGTTGCAACAGAGATACCACTCTTATGATTTTACTAGTATGTATTTCCACTTGAGGAACCATTTAAATTTTTTAAATAATAGTATGAACATAGCTAAGAGAATAATGGTAAGAAAATAAGACTGTTTACCTAAAATGAAGACAGATAAATGTAACAAAGCGTTTTCCTGGCAATTGCAATTATTTATTAGTTACTTCTTCTTATCATTTGGGATTTCTCTTTACCTACAGCCTTATTATGCCTAGGTTACTTTCACTATGAACTATAGGATACAAAAAAATCATTCACATCAAGGTCTTGATGACTAAGAAGCCTGAAAAGTTAGCAGTATGATGATTTCTTCCAATGTAAAAGGAAAACACATAGGTCTAAACAAGTAATTTATTTTTCCTGTGGAATTTTATATCTCACTGGGCAAGTGGAGCTGGCTTTTTATTAATTGTTTGGGAATGGAGTGGGAAAAATAACTTTACCTATCCTCCCAAATCATGTGATATGCTGCCTCCAATGGCTTTGGCCACAGTTGTCATTATGCAATGGAACAAGTTATTTAAGGCTGACAATAAGGGCTGTATATTATCAAATAGAATTTCCTTCACAAAGTATAATTGTAAAGCACTTTAAGCTTTTCTTGAATTGTAATCTTTTAAGTAACCATATTTATTGCTATATAGAGCATACATTCTGGTATTCTATATCACGTGAGCCAACAATCACATAAATGTTAGCTAATCAAGTATATATTTCATCGGATGCCCATTTCATAGACCACCCCTCAACTCTTCTCTGCAGATTATACTTAAGGAAACAGCAACAACCTCTGTGGACAACATTTTGGCAATTTCTGTAAGATCTAGAAATTGACCTTTCATGTGACTCAGCAACTCCTCTTCTGGGAATATACCCAGAGGAACTCAAATCATTCTACAAAACAGTACCTGCACATGAATGGTTATTGCAGCACTATTTACAATAGCAAAAACATGGAACTGACCATGCTGCCCATTTAAGTGACTAGATTTTTTAAATGTGGTACATATGTGGTAGAATATTATACAGTCACAAAGAAGGACAAGATTATGAACTTCACAGCAACTTGGATGGATTTAGAGTCTATCATACTCAGTGATCTACCACAGAAACAAAGAACTGAATACCACATGTTCTCACTCATAAGTGGGCCCTGGGCATTTATCATAATACTATAAGAGTGGGGGGTTGGCAGTAGCAGGACACTGCCAGAGATGGGGTTGCACATAACATCAGTAAGGGTACCTGATCCTAAAGCAGGTACAGTGAGGACCAATGGGAGGCCCAAAGTTACACTGTACATAAACCACTAATGAACTAATCCTGACTTGTACTCTCCATCTTAAATAAAATAAAATTTTTTAAAATGGCTGTCGATGATTTTTAAAAAAAGAAACAATCAAAATGCAGGGATGCAAACAGCTGCAATTGTTATTAGGAAACTAGAGATTAAGCCAAAAGATTGATTTGCCGCTCTCTTCTAGGTGACAATGGAAAAGCCACTTAATCTCTCTATACTTCAATTTCCTTATGTGTAAAATGAGATACTAAAATGAAATCAGAAGTTTTTAATATAAGCAGCCGAACTGGTTCTTCATGTCAGTGCTCACATGGAAGACCATTAGACAAAATGAGTATTACACAGCAGTGGATGGAACCCAAAGACTCTCAGTCTTAACTTTCTCCCCATCCTGCCTGATCCACTTTTTCCCCTCAATTTTAGGATGCTCTAGGAGAACCACTGTAGAAACCTATGACTTTGTAAGCCCATTCAAAAAAATGCAGCAGAAAATCCCCTGTGTCAAATCCCAGTTTTGTTCATATAGTATGAGTCTATTAAAAATGTAAAATGCAAAGATTGTCTGTTTTGGTAAGTTATTTTATGCCCTGTAGAAACTACACCAAAAATTATTCCATATTAATGTCATTTGCAAATATGACAGATGAAATACAAAATAACTTAAAAATTATAAATCTATTGCTGTTAGAATACATATATGTGCATACATTTGCCCTTTTGCAGAGTCTATGCCCCGACATGCTTGTCTTTTTAAAAAATCAGTCTACTTTATTCAAGTAGCTCCATGCGACATGGGAGAGTTTCTACAAGGTGCAGAGTTTCAATAGTGCCCACTGGACAACCCAGGGAATAACGAATTCTCTCTAATGCCTCTCTCACTAGATTTAAAACTGTTTTTTATTACTTCTATGAACTCTGATCCCAGATATATTGAGCAATGGACAGGCTTAGGTACTGCCTAGCTCTGTGTGCTTTGAATTTAAAACTGAAGTGAGATAATGTACACATCCCACAGCTACTGAGTCTAGTTCATTAGAAAACATAAGTATCCAGTAATTCATTCTGTTGAATCATGTGGTTAGACAGTTATTAGTCTAACATTGGTCTTGATGACATATAGGCAGATACAAGAATTAATCTAACATTCCATTTCTGTTCTGATAGGGGAGAAGGGGAGGGAAAGGGGTACGGGGATGGGGAGGGAAAGAAAGATCAAGCACCAGCACTTGTTTACTTGTTTAAATTTTCAACTAGCTGGCACGGTGGCTCAAGCCTGTAATCCCAGTACTTTGGGAGGCTGAGGTAAGAGGATTGCCTGAGCCCTGGGATTCGAGACCAGCCCGAGCAATTTGGCGAGACCTTGTCTCTACAATAAATAAATTAGCCGGGCGTGGTAGTGCGCACCTGTAGTTCCAGTTACTTGGAGGGCTGAGGCGGAGAGATTGCCTGAGCCCAGCAAGTCGAGACTGCGGTGGCCGTGAGAGTGCCACTGCACTCTAGCCTGGGTGACACAGTGAGACTCCAACTCAAAAAAAAAAAAGAAAAAATCAACAGATTGAATTTTATTACCTTGAGGTAAGTTTCCACTTTTTCTAAGAATAGGAAAGACACTTGAAATTACTTGGGTTCATTTATTATCACTCAGTACCTTGACTCCATGAGTAAGGAAGTATTGTTATTACAATTGTACTTTCTCCTTGTGCTGCATACTACAAAATTATTATTGGTTTTAATTGCCTGAAACAAAGGAGGGCCAAACATATTATGTGAGACATGCACTGAATATATAAAAGTTCAGTTTATACAGCATACTCTATTCAGCAGCTTTTCCACCCTTATCTATCCTCGGAGAAAAAGTGTAGTTTGTCTCCATACTTCTATCAAATTTAGCTATTTATTGCATGCAAAATGTGGGACTTGAACATTCATTTTTTTAAAATAACACAACCCCATGTATATTAAAATAAGTGATTAATTTCATTTGCTAATTTTGGATTAAATGTTAGTCTTTATTGTTACATTCCTTTATAAGAAACAGACAAGACATCAATTGCAGTAATTTACTTCTTGCTTAAAGTACTTAAGTTTAGAAAGCCAAGAATAATCACAGATGCAGAAAAAACTAATTATTGAGACTTGTATAAAGACAAGAGGGAAAATTGAAAAGTATGTTTTAAGATGCTATTAGTTACATCACTTATTTTTATTCCATAGGTAAATCAACAGTCTCTTATCCAATTTATAGATTATAAATCCTATTTCTTTTATAGAATTCACAAATGGAGCCCATTCCTTTGGGTTGTCTTTGAAAGAAGGAATAAAATATAACTTTTTAATCTTATTTTTAAATTTTTGACTGTCAAATCAATGGAGTGTTTCTATAATGAACTTTTAAGTAAAGTACCCTTCCACTAAATTGAGGACCTGGTAGAAACAGACATGGAGTTTTTTGCAAAGCCTACAGTAGGCTGAGCTTGTCCAGTAAATAGACTAGAACATTAAAGAAAGTCCCCAGAGAATCTGTAATTATTTCTATGTGTGGAAAGCTGTTTTCCCTGGGAAACTCCACCTAAAAAAGGCAAGGCATAGAGGGAACATTTGCTGGGATGTGAACTGTGAAGTTGGCAAAAGTTTTAGATATCTAGGATATTTGTACCATAAATGAATGTCAGACCTGAATGATATTATCTTACTAAGCAGTAGATTATCTAAAATTTCCTATTCTTCTAAAAACTTTCCTTACACTTTTTCTTACAATAGAAAACCAGACCACACACCTCACCTGCATTTTCCATTCTTGGGATATATAGTTTTCCTCACCTAAAAAAATACAGCAACTGCCCATAAAACCCAGTTTTTGGAGTTGTGAGGGTGATTAATGCAATGATATTTTGAATCTCAGTATAGAGGTTAGCTTTAAAAATTAATTAGTTTTTTTTATTCTTACATACACCATTACTATGTGTGCTTACAAAGTGTTGGTTCCCTAGACATGAGTAAGATGTATATTCAAATCCAAGCTAGTAGAAATTGGTATAAATCAATCATCTAAATATGAATATGTTTCATTATGTGGAAATGGGGCATTAGGTCAGATTTATAAACTTCTTTTAGAGATAGAATTATCCTTTCAAGTCAAATTTCATACACAATCATAATATATAAAAACAGTTCAAAGAAGAGCTTTTTGGTAAGAGAAAGAGATCAGGAACTGTGCTTTTTCCCTTTCCCAATCACACCTCACTTGGGCTCTGAGTCATCTCCAAAGAACCCAACAGCTCTGCAGATAATTTTTAAATAACTGGATTAGATCTCCAACATTTTATCTTAATGAAGTTATCAAATGACCGTTCCCATTGGATCAGAATATGTGAAGGTAAAAATATACAATAGAAAAAATTGTGACATATGTTCTTCACTAAATTATACATATCAAATATTGTAATTTAAAACTTGTTTTAATGTTAGCCTTAGAAATTAATGCAATAAATACATTGGACTTTATATAATATACTCAAGACCCTTTTAGAAACAAGCCTGTCTTGCAGAGACTTATGAACCAGGGATTACTACAGATTTGAAATAATTATCTTGGAATCATGTAGAGTCAAAGAGGATTATAAAAGACCATTCTTAAACTTTGAACCTTAGACAGAAATGCTAGTATCTTTTCCTTCTACCCTAAATTATACTATAAACAAAAAGATACTATAAGGTTATAGGGGCTAAGCTTCTGGGCTTTGAAGTCAGGAAAGGTAGATTCAGTTCTGGGTTTTAGTTTGTCTTTGACTCAATTTTCTCCAAAATGAGTTTATCATATATCAAATAAGGTTCCAAATATTAAATAAAATTAAATAAGATATAAACATTTCTATCATAGAAAATGTGTTATTTTGAAATGTTATTGTAAACAACCATATCATAATACTAAAATGTTACTTCATATTGGCCAAGTATTTTAAAAATCGAATAAATGCACATATTTAAACAAATAGAAATATTATTTGAAAGACATTTACATTATAATAAAATCTGATTGCATATATGTGAAATTAAAATACCATGCAAATGGAAAGGCAGCTACTAGTTTAGAACAATGCTACTTGAAAGTTTTAGCCACATTTTGGGTCAGTGAACTAAACCAACTTCTGATTAAATCAGAAAATAGTTATCAAATTAATTCCTTCAAGAAACACAGACACACATATACACACATGATTCAAATCTTATGCTGGAGTGAATGTGGCCAAAATAATTTCATAAAAAACAAGGGAGGCTACTATAACTTCCAAGAGAAATTCCAAAATTTTCAGTACACTCTGTGCAAGCACCTCCGATTATATAATTTTAATGTTCTTCCCAGGCTAACCTGTTATCTGATGGTTCTCTATTTGGCTTATTGTTCTGACTCAGTAATGATTCTGGTAAATTAAAACATTTGTACTTTATTTGTCTTCTAATAAACTCCAAAGGACCATTGGATTCTTCACGTAACAATTTTTAAAAAAATATTTCATATTGGTTACCTTGTGAATCAATATTTAAAGCAACGTTTTCTTAGCTTCAAAAGACATTATTAACTTAAAACCACATAGGAAAGGACTGAACAGTACATGCATATCTTTACAAAACATCTCTCAATATGCTACTTGATGATTCCAGAAACTGTGATTTATTCTAGATAATCTATGCCATTTACAGTATTTATACATTTACATAATATAATTAAATTGATACTTTTAGTTAATCTCTCCAGAAGATTGATCCTTTACTTAAACTTGGTATCATCAATTAAGAAAATAGTTGGCAGTAGTGGGAAATTGTCAGGGAGGGTGGTGGGTTTGGCAGTTGAGGGAAACTGCTAGGGGAGGAAGGGGCATACCTCATCAACAAGGGTACCTGCATAATCAATGTTTGTATACCCAACCCTGAATTGTACTGCACATCTTTATAATAAAAAAGAAAAAAATTAAGTAATATTCATAATAAGCTTCCTGACTTTCAAAAAACAATAATTTTTATTTATTTTTATTCTTTCAACTTAGACTAATTACATTTCAGATTATTTAAAAGTAATATAATTTACCATTCCCAGTTGCAATTAGAACGTCTTTATATATTTTTAAAATGTTCATAAGTACATATGCAAATACACATTGCATTCAACCATGTTAACAAAGTCATTTGCACCAAAAATTGTGCAATTCAGATAGAAAACTAAATAAGCTAATGAATAAAGTAATAAGTAGTTAGCAATTGTATACTAAAGAGCATATTGACATAAGAGTGGAAAGTCATTTATAACAACTAATCTCATTATTTGACCATCTTTTATAATGACTACAATCTTAATTTAAATTAAACATCATGCATAAAAAGCCTCAGTATAAAATTAAAATCTATAATAATCTATATCAGATTGTGAATCATTTTAATATGAACAAAATAAATGTTTATAGGTAAGTATAAGACATTAAACATAAAGGGAAAAGTCAATGGTTACTGGACATGGTTTTACTACTTTTTAAACATAAAATATAGGAAGATTGATAACTCAGAAAACAATACAAACCTGACTTTTAAATAAAGAAAACAGTTAGTACTTTTTGTTGTCCTTATGATATATCTTCTTAGGAGTATTTATAAAGTAGTGTCATCCCTCATCATCTGGGAGATAGAAAATCCCTTAATCTCTTTTACTGAAAAAAAAAATATGACTTACCTTTAAAAAGGCTAGGAAGGATTTTTCAATCAAATGATCCAACATTTGAACAGACAAATCTTAATATAACTAAATGGTATTCTGCAGAAAAGTCCAACACTGAAATCCTCATTACATAAGTGTGTGAGAGTTTAAATATGCTTTAAAAAAAAACCAACACTAAGGAACCCTACAACGTCAGAACCCAATGTGTGGTTTGTTGCCAGAGGAATTGAAAAAAAAAAAAGAGAGAGAGAGAGAGAGCGAGAGAGAAGAAACCCATACACAGCACTATTAGTATGGTTCATAAGAGTCTATATCCATATTCTGGCGAAGATCCATTACCTATATCTGAGATACTCAGCAGTGCTTTTTTTTTTTTTTTTGGCCATTTTCCCATCCAAGTAATTCAGAGGTCAGAGAAACAAAAGGAACTGACTTGCTGAACTTCCCCTAATGTACTCTGTATAACACAATCATTATTCAAGATACTAAACTGAGACCCGGGGGTGGAAGGAGTTAATTTGGGGAGAGCAGTCATATTATCACTTCCCTATCATGACCGAGCTTGCAAAACTTATTTCATTAAGTTTAAATAAAATGTATTTTTTATATAACACAAATCTGAAATACTTTGAGACCAATAATTTTGAAAACAATTGGAGACTGTCAATCAGCAAGGATGACAAACAACCTTAGAAAAAGGAAATAACCCATTGTTCTAGCTGGAATTTCTTAAATGTTTATCATTTTCTGTTTTACAAAAGTTTTATGAGCACAGCACAGTCCTCCTACATAAAATAAATCTCTTAAAATTTCTTCAGCCAAAATACATGTATTAAATACCATTTAAATAAAATTGCTATTGAGGATGATCTTTTAATGTAAAAAAAAGCATATACTTAAGCCACTTTCAAAAAAAGGCATTATTTTTCTATTGAATCAAAATAGAAATCCTTGTACTTTGAGGAAAGAAGGACTGTCAATATTAGGATCCCATTGTTACAAAGACATTATCAGAATCATAGAGGAAAATTCCTCAGAAGATTGAACTGGCATATATCCGACAGGATAGTTGGATAAATGCCTTCAATCAACCTTGAAATAAAGTGGCCTAAGAATAACAGGCAGAAATATATTTAGTTCATTAGATCATATTGAAACCAGTTCTTATCATTAGATTGCTTGTGCTTTTTCTGGGTATATGAGGCACATATAAATCCTTTCATTTGCAAGCATTACAACTGAAAAAGAACCCAAAACATTCTCTTCTCCTCAAGCATTGCTTTCTTTCTCTAGGGTATTTTACTGACACATTTATTTAAAAAGTAATAAGAAGTCATAAAAATACTTTAAGTATATTAAATTTTTTTCCAAGTTTCAGATCCCTTAATTAGGATAATGTAGAAATGGCCTTGTGAGATTTCATTATGATTTATACTTTTCATTATAAAAGAAAAACACAGATTTTGGGAAACTTAGGTAATTCTTTTAAATAACTGTGAACTTTATTTTGGTTGTATGATATAGAATTATAATATAAACATTAATGCATATTTGATTAAGAATATATATCTTGTAGATATTTATTTTGTATTTAAGCTATTTTGATGTAAACATTTTTTCTCAGCCTTAATTCTCACACTACACACACCAATATGACAATTCAGAAATAGCTTTCCAACACAAGAGTTCAGATAAGGTCTACTTTAAAGAGCATATTTTAACCACATTGAAAAAATAGTAAATTATAATGAAAATATGAACACTATTAGAGAAAGATATTTCAGGAAAAAAATACATGCAAAATAGAAACCTAAATTGACACTGAACTTACATGGATCATTATTTAATCAGTAGCCTAATGCCATCCAAATCTTCTGACTGTCACTGGAGAGGAAAATGTCACACAGTCCCATGAGCAGTCCAAAGAATCAAATTTACATTCCCAGAGGCAGCTGTTTAGTGTTCAATCGCATAGACAACAGCTCCTGAGCAGCTCAGACACAAGACTCAGAAAGCGCACAGCTGACTCAAATCTGCAACCATGACTTTTGAGGAAAATATATACCTTGAACAACAAGGCAGCAAAATGCTGTACCCATTTTAGAGTAAAGAATGCTGAGATTTTCTTTGTTATATGAAGCATGCACCCACAATATTTTCAAGGAATGTGCTATATATGAAGGTACAGATTGCCTTATGTAAATCTACTATAGAAGTAGATAAATTATTAGAATGACAGGATAAAAATTTTCAATATACTTAGCCAGCTTACACACAATTCTCTGGAAACTCTTTTGTGAGAAAGCATATAGGGTTAGACATCAGACAGACATAAATATAAATTCTGATGCTACCAGGCACCAGTTATTGAAGAATAAATAGACATTTAAAAATTCAAGGTGTATGTGACATTTTGATATGCATAAACATTGCAAAATGATTGCCACAATCAAGCTAATTAGCATATCCATCGCTTTTATATTCTTAATCAAAAAATGGAGACAACTAAGCAAAAGTGTGATAAGAACTAAAAGTGGAGTAGTACACAACACTTGACCTGACAACTACTAGGCACATAAACAATGCGCCTCTTCCCTTGGCCCCTATTCATGTAAGTCTCCTTTCCCTTCTCTGCTTTGTTTTTTTCTGGATCATTTATCACCATTGGACCACCTCCACAACTGACTTTCGTTTTTGTCCTGTCTTTGCGCCTGCTAAAACTTTGGGTCCATGAGGATGGGGACACTTGCCTGTTTAGTTCACCGCTGAACCCCCACAGCACAAAACAGGCGAACAATTGGCAATCTGTTGAGTAAATGGACACACACAGCGACTATTATAACCATAATAATAGTTTTAAAGTGGTGAGAAGGAATGGAAATGAGAGGCTATTATGCTCCTTGTTCACACCATGGAAAAGCAATGGTTTGGTTGGGTTACGAACATCTGCTAAGAGTGAACTGACCTGAGTATGAATTTGGAATTCATCATTTCCTAAGTATATAACTTGTTGCTAACCTAACCTCTCACTTAGCCACAGTGGAAATATCTCCCTAACAAAATTGTTGTAATGATTAAGTGTGATAATATGAAGAACTTAGCACAGAGCCTGACACAGAGTTTTTGTTTAACAATTACTATGGTTATCACTGGATATTAGACAAAATTTTATTTTAGAGGATTTATTAAATATAAGTGAGTAAGAAATATTGAATATTATACAAAGCCAGGCTCAGTGGCTCAGCCTGTAATCCCGCGCCTTTGGGAGGCTGAGGTTAATGGATTGCCTGAGCCCGCGGGTTCAAGACCCGCCTGGGCAGCGGGACCTTATCTCTACAATAAATCAAAAAATCAGCCGGGTGTGGTAGCGCATGCCTGTAATTCCGGCTACTTGGAAGGGTGAGGCGGAAGGATCGCCGGAGCCCAGCAGGTCGAGGCTGCGGTGGCCGGGAGCGGCCACTGCACTCCAGTCTGGGCGACAGAGTGAGACTCCAACTCAAAAAAAAAAAAAGAAAAGAAAATTATACAAAGATATAAAATGTGAAGTTTCTCTCAACCCCCAATTCTATTTCTCAGAAACAACCAATGTTAGATGTATATGTGTTAATATTCCCCCAGTAACCTTATGTTTTTAAATTTATATGCCTATGTATATGGCATAATACCTATAATGAGTCATATTTTGTGAACGTTGCCTTTCCATATAGTATGTGCCTTGGAGATATTCCCATATCATGAATATGGTAAATACTTTATTATTGCAAAATATTCCATAGTGAATAATGTAATATTTTTTAAATGGCCAGTCTTCTTTAAATAGGCATTATTATTATTGTTTCTGGTGCTTTTCTTCTACAAAAACAATGCAAAAAATTCTTGTTCATACTGCTATATTTACCTGTTCTACTATACGAATAAAAATGAGAAGTAAAATTTCTGAGACAAAACTGTGTACTGTTGGTAGGGAGAATTTTGTAAATTTCTGTTCATACATGCACACAAAAATATGTGAGAATACCTATCTTCATACATCACCTACACTGGTTTATGCTGAACTTTAACTTTTTAGCAAGTATGTTGGGGTTGTTTTGTAAATATTTAATTGAACGAAGTTAAACCAATTTTCTAAAGTACATTAGTCATTTTTATTTTAAGACATTTGAACAATATTCTTATCCATCTTTTTTCCCTTGGGTTGGTTTGTCCTTTCCTTACTAATAAGTAAGAAAATAGTTTTTTTTTTAACCTCTGACTTATTTTAAGGTAGCAAGTTTTAATTTTTGCTGTATGTTAAAATTAAAGAATATTTAAAATTTTTAGTCCATGAACTTTTAGTCGTTTCCTTTTAAGGACTGTATCATGCTTCAAAAGGTTTGATCCACTTTGAGAATATGAATAAATACTAAATTTCCTTAGAGCATTTTTGTGGTTTTAAAAATCCTCTGTAACAGTATTTCAGACAAGCTGATTCATGGAATTTAACACGTGAAGTAAAAGAGGAAGAGTACATTAAGTTGAGTAATACAAATATTGCAACAGATATGAGAAACAAATGACAGATGCATTATGAGAGTTCTAAAGAGGAATCACATGGCCCAGTTCTAAACACAGCTTTATTAGTAATAATACTTGTGATGTAGACGAGACACAGTCATTGTCTTGCTGATTCCATTCTAATCAAAGAAAATAACCATAAAGTCTACCTCCACCTTCAAGCTGAAGATCGAATCAAATGGTAGATTTAAGCTTTAAAATGTAAACTTATATGCAGATAGGTACTGGTAGGTTACAATAGCAGATGATTTTTTAATTTGTAATATTTTTTTCAGTTCACAAAATAAGAATTTCAGCATAATTTGTGTTGTAATTCTAGAATGTATGGGTAAGCAAAGACTCATAAATTATGAATATGATGATGATACAATAAGAGTTAACACATACTAAGAGCTTAACTATCTACCAGGTGTTGAGCTAAGTAATTCACATGTGTTAACTTGTTGACAAATCATACTATCTTACTAGGCTCTTTAAAAAACTGACGTCACACAGCTAGTACTTGCCAGAACAAGAGTAAAAACCCAAGCAGACTGACTGAAGAGCCTTACTCTTTCTGAAACAAAAATGATAAATATGTTCTTGATCAATATCTAACTTTATACATTCTTTCCAAAATGTTTATACAAATTGAATAACAACTTTAAATAACCTGATATTACATACAGAGAAAATGATATCTAGATACAACAAACAAGCAATGAACAGTAAACTTATCCCATAGATGGCAATTAACATTATTTTAGATTAAATAAAACAAAATTTCATTTTAATGATCTATAAACTGTCTCATAAGATTAGTTACAAACGTAAAACTAAGGCAACATTTGTCTATTCCTTCGGGAATTCTGATAATGAAGAGTCATATATAATCATATATATGCTTATATAAGCATATAATCATATATATGCTTATATAATCATATATATGCTTACATTCATATGTGTGAATATATATCTACACAAATATATATGCTGTACGCAGACATCTATATTTTTCAGGTGCTAGCTTGTTCATTCACAGAAGTATTAAACCAATAGCATGTTCTACCTGCTTTATATAATGAGGAAGGAGTTCACATGCAGAAATAAAAATTAAAATATACTTACATAATTTAAAATATATTATTAAATTGTAAAAGAGAAAAGTATGATGTAATGTCAGTGAAGTGTTAAGAGACTAAAATGAACATTTCTGATATCACCTTTAAAATAAAATTTCAAAAATATTAAAGATAAAATGCAGAATGTTAGGATAATGTCAGTTTAAACTGAAATCCCGCAACCTGATGAATAAAAAGACAAGGTAAAAGCAAACATATGCCTTAAAGGTAATCTTACCTATATGCTTAATGAAAGTCATGGTAGGAGCTGTGCTTAAAAGAGAGATTAAAGACAGAGAACCTTTGTATATGTAGATAGTGCTCATGTGGACATGACCAGATCAATATGTAAATTTCACAGGTCATCTAAAAATGTTGTAGACCTAATTCTCATGTGAACAGTTTGCAGAGATAACTCTCTAAGGAGACAAAAAACCACAGTCAACGTTTAAATGATGCTAAGAAATACAACAGAATGTTATAATCAGCAGAGTTTGTCAAGTAAGTTGTGTTCATATAGTAGATGGGAAATTATTAGGGGCTAAAAAAAAATCAGGTAAAGGAATAACTAAGCCTCAAAGCATGTGATGAAATAGCAGAAAAAAGTCAATAATTGATAGCCAAAACAAGCATTTAGTTGATAAATACCAATTTTTTTTAAAGGTTGAGAAAAAATAGTCATATAAGTAATTTGAAATTTTGCAGAGCAGAAAGATAGAAAATTCATTGTAACTGACAGTACAAATTCTAGTTCTGAGAAATATTATAATGACCCTAGCCTAAAGAGATAGTCCCTAAAGTGAATTCTTAAAAATAAAGTTTACGGGGCAACTTGGCGAGACCTCATCTCTACAATAAATCAAAAAAACAAAAAATTAGCCGGACGTGGTAACGCGCCTGTAGTTCCACTACCTGGAAGGCTGAGGCAGAAGGATCGCCGGAGCCCGGCAGGTCTAGGTTGCGGTGGCCGGGAGCGGCCTCTTTACTCCAGCCTGGATGATAGAGTGAGACTCCAACTCAAAAAAATAAAAATAAACTGGGCTCGGTGGCTCAGCCTGTAATCCCGCGCTTTGGGAGGCTGAGGTGAGTGGATTGCCTGAGCCCGCGGGTTTGAGACCCGCCTGGGCAGCGAGACCTCATCTCTACAATAAAAAAACAAAACAAAAAAAATCAGCCGGGCGTGGTAGCGCATGCCTGTAATTCCACTAGCTGGAAGGCTGAGGCGGAAGGATCGATGGAGCCGGCAGGTCGAGGTTGTGTGGCCGGCAGAGGCCTCTGCACTCCAGCCTGGGTGACAGAGTGAGACTCCAACTCAAAAAAATAAAAAATAAAAAAAAGTTAATTAAAAA